ATGGGACTTCTGTGCGAGGTCCCGATCATGTGATCACTGATTGGCCAATCAGTGATCACATGCAGAGTAGTAAGCAAGATGTCACTTCTGACATCATTGCTTACTACGTGTGAAATCTGTGAATGATCACAGAGATCACATGGTACAGGGCTATTCGCAAGAGCCTTGTACCATGTGACAAGCTGTGACCAATCACAGCTCTTACAGTATTTCTCAATGGCTGCAAGAATGCAGCCAGAGAGAAGGAGAAATTATTGCTTTTACAGCCTTTAGGGGTGTAAAAAGCAATCAGTGTACAAAAAAAAAAAAAATTCATCACCCCCCACAAGTGGTACAGTGTCACCATGGTAACACTGTACTGCTAGGGTGACAGTATGTAAAAAAACTAAAAACAAATAATAATATGTAAAAAAAATGTAAAAAAAAATGTTTTGAAAAATTATAATTTTTGGTTATAAACTAATTTGGGTTTTTTTTTTTTTTTTACTAAAAAGATAACAGAATAAATTTCGGCCAAGATTTATGATGAAATATTATTTATTTGCTAAATTTTATAAGAAAAACACCTTTTTTCAAAAATTTATGGACTTTTTCATTTACATAGCAAAAAAAAAAAAAAAAAATCCAGCGGTGAATAAATACCACCAAAATAAAGCTTTATTTGTCTCAAAAAAATGCTAAAAAATTCATATGGGTACAGTGTTGCATGACCGCGCAATTGTCATTCAAAGTGTGATATCGCTGAAAGCTGAAAATTGGCCTGGACTGGAATGAGGGGGAAAGCGTCCGGACTGGAATGAGGGGGAAAGCGTCCGGACTGGAATGAGGGGGGAAAGCGTCCGGACTGGAATGAGGGGGGGAAAGCGTCCGGACTGGAATGGGGGGGAAAGCGTCCGGACTGGAAGGGGGGGGGGAAGCGTCCGGACTGGAAGGGGGGGGAAAGCGTCCGGACTGGAAGGGGGGGGGGGAAAGAGGGGGAAAGCGTCCGGACTGGAAGAGGGGGAAAGCGTCCGGACTTGGGGGGGAAAGCGTCCGGACTGGAAGAGGGGGGAAAGCGTCCGGACTGGAAGGGGGGGAAAGCGTCCGGACTGGAAGGGGGGAAAGCGTCCGGACTGGAAGAGGGGGGAAGCGTCCGGACTGGAAGGGGGGGGGGGGGAAGCGTCCGGACTGGAAGAGGGGGGGGGGGGGAAGAGGGGGGGGGAAGCGTCCGGACTGGAAGAGGGGGAAAGCGTCCGGACTGGAAGAGGGGGAAAGCGTCCGGACTGGAAGGGGGGGAAAGCGTCCGGACTGGAAGAGGGGGAAAGCGTCCGGACTGGAAGAGGGGGAAAGCGTCCGGACTGGAAGGGGGGAAAGCGTCCGGACTGGAAGAGGGGGGAAGCGTCCGGACTGGAAGGGGGGGAGAGCGTCCGGACTGGAAGGGGGGGAGAGTGTCCGGGACTGGAAGGGGGGGGGGGAAAGGGGGCTGGAGAGCGTCCGGACTGGAAGAGGGGGGGAAGCGTCCGGGCTGGAAGGGGGGGAAAGCTTCCGGACTGGAAGGGGGGGGGAGTGTCCGGACTGGAAGGGGGGGAGAGTGTCCGGACTGGAAGGGGGGGAGAGTGTCCGGACTGGAAGGGGGGGAGAGTGTCCGGACTGGAAGGGGGGGAGAGTGTCCGGACTGGAGTGTCCGGACTGGGGGGGGAGAGTGTCCGGACTGGAAGGGGGGGAGAGTGTCCGGACTGGAAGGGGGGGGAAAAAGCGTCCGGACTGGAAGTGGTTTTTTAAAGGTCCGCATATTCTGGAAGTGCGAAAAAATATCCGGTGCGAAAAAAAAAAAAAAAATCAGGACCTCACTGCAATACAGATCTTGTACATTTCTCCATATTTTGTTTCAAATACAGCAAAAATACCAACTGATCACCAGAAATCTTGTGAGTTCCTAACTTCTTGTAGTGAGCTGACAACTCTGCTTCTGCTGCACTGAAATCCCAAGCAGTGTTGTCAGCTCTGCCCAGATGGACTACAGAACTCCACCCCCTCTTCTCATTTCCATAATATAAGAGGGAAGTGTGTTCTGTAGTCCACAGGGGAGAGCTTGGCAGGGATAATAAACACTGCTGGGGGTTTTCACAGTAGCAGAGACTGCGCTCCTATCTCAAGGCTTAACTTTCAACTTTGAATGGCAGGTAAATGGGCAATGGAAAAAAAAGTCCATGAATTCCCAGCGATGAGACCTCCCTCACCTCCGCAGACGCAGGTAGTGCTCCATCTCCCGCTTTTTTTCCGGATCCTCACTGGTTGTCTCCTCCCCCTTCTCCGGACACTTCTGATCCTTCTTCTTGTGCCGGACACTTTTCTTAGTTACGGGTTCTGTATGGAGACCGGGACAAAAAAAAAAAAAAAAAAAGAGTAATAATAATTACAAATGTCAGACAGAGCACACGGGAAACATGGCTTGCTATGCAGTTCCCTGTGTCCGACTGCAACTGCCGTGATGGCTCATTGAGCTCTGCAAACAAGGGGCTTCTTAAAGAGGAAGATGTGAGAGGACTCAGGAGCTTCATCAGATGTTCAGATAGAAAACTGCATACTAATAATTTGCATTATTTTATAATATATACACATACAATAAATATCATACATACACATAATAAAAAAAAAATATATATATATAATAATAATAATAAATAAAATATATTTATTTATTATTATTTTATTATTATTATATATCTATTTTTAATTATGTGTGTAATATTACACAAATAATTAAAAAAATAAATATATATATATATATATATATATATATTATATATATTTTTATTATTATTATTTTTTTTTTAATTATGTGTATATATATATATATATATATATATATATTACACACATAATTAAAAAAAAAAATAAATATATATATTATAATATAATAAAATATTATATATTTATTATTATTATAATTTTTTTATTTATAATATATTTATATATTATTATTATATATTTTTTTTTTTTTTATGTTTTTTTATATAATTTAATTTTTATTTTATATATATTATATTTTATTTTTTTTTTTTAATTATTGTGTATTTTATATATATATATTATTTATTACACACATAATTAAAAAAAAAAATAAAAATAATAATTTATATTATATATAAATTTATTATTATTATTATTTTTTTTTTTTAATTATGTGTGTAATTTATATATATATATATATTATAAATATATATATATATTATAAATAAAAAACAATAATTAATAATTAAAAAATAAAAAAAATAATTAAATAATAATAATAACCGTATATATAATATATATATATATATATATATAATATATATATATACACACACACACACACACACACACACACACACACACACACACACACGCATAATATACACACACAATAAAAAATATAATATGTATATATTACACACATAATAAAAAAAAAAAAAGTAAAAAGAAAAAAAAATTAAATAAATAAAATATATAAATATATATATTACACATAATAAAAATTTTTTTATATACACACACACATACATACCCTTACATACTTTTATAGCCCTACCAATAATAATTACAAAAAAAAAAAAAATAAATAAAAGTGTGCATTATATGTGATAAATACATTCCCTTTATTGCCGCTCACCTTTAGAGCTGGCCCCTGGCTCGGAGTGGGTGGCCTCAGTCTCTTGTGGTCCCGGCCATTCGCCGACTCCTTGGCTGGTATATGACATCAGCGATGAAGGGGGAGGGGCTTCAAGTTCTGAGGAGCCAATCCCCTTACCAGCATCTCCTGGCCTGCAAGGAGGAGGGTGATCCAGAAAATAGTACAAAACGTAACAAAGGCATGAATTTGTTATAGAGAAATTGTCATTTTCTGCAAAACAGGGAGATGTAAAAAAATCTGACGCCGCTCTCACAGACGCCAAATATGATCACCGTTCTTCACTAATAAAAAGAATAATGTTTGTGTAAAGCGGTACATGCGTGCAGATGTCACACGGTGTGCGTGCTTGGAGACTTGCATCTGTAGGCATGCACTGCTTTTTGATCCCGTGTGTATGAGCCCTTAGAGAGCTGCCACCAGACCGAGCGTCCCCATTGGAAGATTTTCCTTCTATTCCTGGTCTGGTCACCACTGTATCATCTTTGGTTCCCATTATATTCTAGATCCACTTGAGATATATATATATATATATATAATATGTGTGTGTGTATGTAAAAAATAACATGTATGTATGTATGTATGTACAGTAATGTATGTATGTAATATATAATATATACATACACACATCACACATACATAAACATATATAAACAAAAACACACACAACCAAAATAATATACACACACACACACAATATATAAATATATATATACACACAACACACACACCACATACATATATATATACTAACACACACACACACACACATATAATATATATACACACACACACACACACACACACATACATATATATACACACACATATATATATATATATATATATATACACACACACACATATATATATATATAATACACACAACACACACATACATATATATATATATACACATAACACACATACATATATATACACACACATATATAATAAAAATATATATACACACACACACACACACACACATACATACATATATATACACACACACACATACATACATATATATACACACACACACACATATAATATATATACACACACACACACACACACACATATATATATATACACACACACACACACACACATACATATATATACACACACACACACACACACACACACATATATATATATATACACACACACACACATATATATATATATACACACACACACACACATATATATATATACACACACACACACACATATATATATATACACACACACACACACACACACATACATACATATATATATACACACACACACACACACACATATATATATACACACACACACACACATATAATATATATATTCACACACACACACATACATATACACACACACATACATACACACATATATATACACACATACATACAACATATATATACACACACATACATATATATACTTGCACATGGGATGTCATCTTGTTACCTTTTTGCGTTGTGAGCAGCAGCTGTTGTAGGGGGCCCGACTTCAGCAAAGCATGATGGGTGATCCGCCTGGTCTGAGCGAGAAGCGGGGTGCCGGGCCCTTGGGTAGCTGGTTGGGAGGGATGGAACAATATTAGAAGATGAATACAGCCTAAGCCGTCATCTCGGAGCAGTTCTCATCGGTGTCTATGGAATGCTGCGTCTGGACCACCGCTGACCAATGGCTGACAACACTACACCCCGAGAGTGGCCGACGCTTGGACCCAAGCAACATCTACCAGTAATGCAGGGGTGGACCACCAATCTGATGCCACTACTAGTAAGGATGGGCGACTCCAATATAAACCCCGATCCCAGGATGTGTCAGGCCACGCCCCCCAGTTCAAGGTCCTGCCATGTCTGCCTCTATGGACTTTATGTGACTGCTGTGTACGCATGGCATCAATACAGGAGCCTGTGGCTGTGCCTTGCAGCGGCGTCACACTACCTGCTCTCCCGCCTCCTCTGCGCGGACGTACTCCCGGTGCTGGCGTTTCTGCACCTCGTTCCTGAGTTCCGTCTTCTTTCCGTAGAACCTCTGCAGGCCTGGAGAGGAGGAGAATGGCAGGGGTCAAATGGTGGGCAGGCTGAAGCATGCGATAAGGCAGGGGCCTCCAAACTATGGCCCTCCAGCTGCTGAAGTACTACAAGTCCCATCATGTCTCTGCCTCTAGGAGTCTTACCTGCGGCTGTCAGAGTCTTGCAAGGCCTCATGGGACTTGCAGTTCCTCAACACCTGGAGGGTCGTAGTTTGAAGACCCCTGTTAAGGCATCCCCAGCAATGTCCTTAGGCATACTGCACCAGAATTTGTGACTGCTAAGGTACCAGGACAACTTCAATTTCCTTCCCCTGAGGCTGCAAGACCCACCCACCAGGAACAGGCTTTGTATATCGGTGATTTCAATTTCCCTCCCCAAAGATTACAGAACATTCCCATAAAAAAGCATGCTGTGTATATGCGTGACTCCAGTTTCCCTCCTCTGCAGTCACAGGTCACAACCATGAGGTATGAGCTATGCATGACTCCAATTCCCCCCCTTCCCTCAAGGTTACAAGACACGCCCATGAGGAATGGGCTGTGTATATGCGTGACTGCAATTTCCCTCCCCTGAGGTTACAGGACATGCCCATGAAGAATGGGTTGTGTATATGTGTGACTCCAATTTCCCCGCCCATGAGGAATGGGCTGTGTATACACCTGATTCTAATTTCTCTCCCTTGAGGCTACAAAACACGCCCATGAGAAATGGCCTGTTTATATGCATCACTCCATTTTCCCACTCCCCCAGGTTACAAGACATGCCCATGAGGAATGGGCTGTGTATATACGTGACTCCAATTTCCCTCCCCTGAGGTTACAAGACACGCCCCTGAGAAATGGCCTGTTTATATGCATCACTCCATTTTCCCACTCCCGAGGTTACAAGACATGCCCATGAGGAATGGGCTGTGTATATGCGTGATTGCAATTTCCCTCCCCTGAGGTTACAAGACACGCCCATGAGGAATGGACTGTGTATATGAATTACTAATTTCCCTCCCGAGGCTACAAGACACACCCATGAGGAATGGCCTGTTTATATGCATCACTCCATTTTCCCACTCCCCCGAGGTTACAACACATGCCCATGAGGAGTGGACTGTGTATACATGTGACTCCAATTTCCCTCTCCTGAAGCTACAAGACATGGCCATGAGGAATTGACTGTGTATATGCGTCACTCCAATTTACCTCCCCTGAGGTTACAAGACACGCCCATGAGGAATGGACTGTGTATATGCGTGACTCCAATTTACCTCCCCTGAGGTTACAAGACACGCCCATGAGGAATGGACTGTGTATATGCGTGACTCCAATTTCCCGCCCATAAGGTATGGGCTGTATATGTACGTGACTATAATTTCCCTCCCCTAAGGTTACAAGACACGCCCATGAGGAAAAGACTGTGTGTAAGCACGACTCCAATTTTCCTCCCCTGAGGTTACAAGATACACTAATGAGAAATGGGCTGTTTATATGCGACACTCCATTTTCCTACCCCCAAGGTTTAAAAAGACATGCCCATGAGGAATGAGCTCTGTATATGTGTGACTCCAATTTCCTGCCCATGAGGAATGGGCTGTGTATACGCCTGCCTTTAATTTCCTCCCCTGAGGTTACAAGACACGCCCATGAGGAATGAGCTGTGTGTATGTGTGACTCTTATTTCCTTCCCCTGAGGTTACAGGACACACCCATAAGGTATGGGCTGTGTATGTACATGGCTATAATTTCCCTCCCCTGAGGCTACAAGACACGCCCATGAGGAACGAGCTCTGTATATGTGTGACTTATTTCCACCCCTGAGGTTACAGGACAGACCCACAAGGAACAAGTGTGCATATTGGAAATTCCAATTCCTCTCCCGAGGCTGCAGGATACACCCATGAGCAACAAGCTGAGTATATGGGCACTCACAGGCAATGTGTTTCTTCCCATTGCGATGGATGGAGAGCATATCTACCGTGTCGAAGACGGGTCTGTGGTGGCACACGGTGCAGGCATACCTGCAATGCAATCAGAGGATGGTGTCACTTTTTTGATATTTGGATACAGCACTTTCAAAAGAAACATTTTGTGTTAATGGAAGGTAATAAGATCTCCTCTAATGAAGGCAACTAGTAGCTATTACACACAATGCGCCTCCTCCCAGCAATCACCCCTCCCGCCATCTAATGGGTACCCAACACACAACTTGAGGTCATGAAGACTCACTGGTTGGGGTTCTTCTTTAAGTCTGATCTGTTACAGGTCGTGCCAATTGAATCTGAGCACGTCATCCAATCGCCGAGTAACACCTTACCTGTGAAAACGGCACGCCAAAAACGTAGACAGTTCTGAGCAAATCTCCAGCGCTCGGCGACGCCCCCTCCTGCACACAAAGTCCTCCTAACTGGTCAGTAAAGCTTTACATCACTTTAAATGACCAATAAGAACACGGGAAATGGGAGGGGGTGTAGCCAAGTTTTGCTTGTAAGTTATGATTGGCACAAAACTTCAGCTGCTGCACCGTCTGGATCTACTCACTGATCCAACTGCCCCCGTCAGGAAGGAGGCGGCCATTCTGGAGTACACACCTTCCATTCCTCAGCAGCAGGGCCTCGTCCTCGGGGGATGAAGCTGGCCAGCAGGTCGGCCACCCTCCGCTTCTGGATGGAGACATAAAGGAGGAGGAAAGGGTGATCGATTATTGATTGGAATGGATGGTCGATCCAATGACAAAAGTCAGATAGCCCCTCCCCCACCCGTCCTTATACTCTTCCCCTTCTATTCCCCCCCCCCCCATACCCACCACCCCTCCCCATCTACATGTTCCAGCATTCCCATCTATTCTCCCTTCTAAACCTTCCCCCTCCACCTACATCTTCCGCTGTCTCCCCCATCTATACCCCTCCCATTCCCCCCCCCCATCTGCCCCCTCCTTCTATACAGTCCAGAACACTCCCTTATCTACCCCCCTCCTCCTGCACCCTACCCTACTGCACCATCCCCCATCTACCCCTTTTGCACCCTCCCCGATCCATACCCACCTGCCCCACCACCATTCAAAGTTAGCTGCACCCTCCATCTATTCCTACTTGCTTCTCCTCCCCTATCCTTCTATACCCACCTCCCCCCCCCCCCCCCATCTATACCCACCTTCCCCTTCCCCCCATCTATACCCACCTTCCCCTCCCCCCCATCTATACCCACCTCCCCCTCTCCCCCATCTATACCCACCTTCCCCTCCCCCACCTTCCCTCCCCCCCATCTATACCCACCTTCCCTTCCCCCCCATCTATACCCACCTTCCCTTCCCCCCCATCTATACCCACACCCCTTCCCCCCATCTATCTCCCCCCCCCCATCTATACCCACCTCCCCTCCCCTATCCTTCTATACCCACCTCCCCTCCCCCCCATCTATACCCACCTTCCCCTCCCCCCCCATCTATACCCACCTTCCCCCCCCCCCCATCTATACCCACCTTCCCCCACCCCCCCCATCTATACCCACCTTCCCTCTCCCCCATTCAAAGTTAGCTGCACCCTCCATCTATTCCTACTTGCTTCTCCTCCCCTATCCTTCTATACCCACCTCCCCTCCCCCCCCCATCTATACCCACCTTCCCTTCCCCCCCATCTATACCCACCTTCCCCACCCCCCCATCTATACCCACCTTCCCCTCCCCCCATTCAAAGTTAGCTGCATTGCAAAACCCTCCATCTATTCCTACTTGCTTCTCCTCCCCCCTATCCTTCTATACCCACCTCCCCTCCCCCCATCTTTAACCACCTTCCCCTCCCCCCATCTATACCAACCTTCCCCTCCCCCCATCTTTAACCACCTTCCCCCATTTCTACCCACCTTTCCTAAACCCATCTATACCCACCTTCCCCTCCCCCCCAATATATACCCACCTTCCCCTCCCCCCCATCTATACCCACCTTCCCCCTCCACCCCATCTACACCCATCTCCTTCCCCTCCCCCCCCCATCTCTATACCCACCTTCCCCCTCCACCCCATCTACACCCATCTCCTTCCCCTCCCCCCCCCATCTCTATACCCGTCTTCCCCCCCCCCCCCCCCCATCTTTAACCACCATCTCCCTCCGTCTCTACCCACCTATTCTAAACCCATCTATACCCACCTTACCCCTCCCCCCCAGCTACACCCATCTCATCCCCCCTCTATCAATACCCACCTATCCCTTCCCCCATCCATACCCCCCATATATAACCACCTTCCCTCATCTATACCTACCTACCCCATCTTTAACCACCCACCCCCATCTATACCTCGCCCCCTCTCTCACCCTCAGTACATTCAGTTGGCTCCCATCGTCCCCCTCTCTCTTGAACGACATTTCTCCCCTCAGACGGCTTCCGTACAACCCCGCCCCCCTCGCCGCACTGCCCGCTGGGAGATGTAGTCCCGCCTTCCGTATACAGCACGTGACGTCTCCCCGGGGGCGGGGCTCTATGCATGCTTGTCAGTAGTCCCACCCCTCCACCTGAGCCCGGTGGCGGACTACATTTCCCGGCATGCCCCGCCCCCCTCCCCGCTGTCACCTCTGGCCAGCAGCTGTCGGCAGTTCTAAGGCGGACGGGATCCAGGCACCGAGGAGGGGGGGAGGTCATGTGACCCTGTGGTGTCCCCCCTCCCCCTCCTGTCAGAAAATTGAATTACAAGAAGAAGAAGAAGATATCATGTGAGGGAAGATCTGTCAGCCATGTCCTCCTTCTCCTCCCCAGGGGGCTCCGGGCTCCTCCGAGGTACCAGGACCCGCTCCTATGGCAGCCTGGTCCAATCCCCATCTCCCCGGCCCGGGTCCGGAGGGTGGAGCACCTGGTGTGTCCGGGGGATACGCTGCAAGGCCTGGCGCTGAGATACGGGGTCACGGTGAGTGTGGGGGGGCTCTATACTGAGATACGGGGTCACGGTGAGTGTGGGGGGGCTCTATACTGAGATACGGGGTCACGGTGAGTCTGGGGGGGCTCTATACTGAGATACGGGGTCACGGTGAGTCTGGGGGGGCTCTATACTGAGATACGGGTCACGGTGAGTCTGGGGGGGCTCTATACTGAGATACGGGGTCACGGTGAGTGTGGGGGGGGCTCTATACTGAGATACGGGGTCATGGTGAGTGTGGGGGGGCTCTATACTGAGATACGGGGTCACGGTGAGTGTGGGGGGGCTCTATACTGAGATACGGGGGCACGGTGAGTGTGGGGGGGCTCTATACTGAGATACGGGGTCACGGTGAGTCTGGGGGGGCTCTATACTGAGATACGGGGTCACGGTGAGTCTGGGGGGGCTCTATACTGAGAATACGGGGTCACGGTGAGTGTGGGGGGCTCTATACTGAGATACGGGGTCACGGTGAGTGTGGGGGGCTCTATACTGAGCTATGGGGTCACGGTGAGTCTGGGGGGGCTCTATACTGAGATACGGGGTCACGGTGAGTCTGGGGGGGCTCTATACTGAGATACGGGGTCACGGTGAGTGTGGGGGGCTCTATACTGAGATACGGGGTCACGGTGAGTGTGGGGGGCTCTATACTGAGATACGGGGTCACGGTGGGTGTGGGGGGGCTCTATACTGAGATACGGGGTCACGGTGAGTGTGGGGGGGCTCTATACTGAGATACGGGGTCACGGTGAGTCCGGGGGGGGGCTCTATATTGAGATACGGGGTCACGGTGAGTGTGGGGGGGCTCTATACTGAGATACGGGGTCACGGTGGGTGTGGGGGGGGGGCTCTATACTGAGATACGGGGTCACGGTGGGTGTGGGGGGGCTCTATACTGAGATACGGGGTCACGGTGAGTCTGGGGGGGCTCTATACTGAGATACGGGGTCACAGTGAGTCTGGAGGGGCTCTATACTGAGATACGGGGTCACGGTGGGTGTGGGGGGGCTCTATACTGAGATACGGGGTGTCACGGTGAGTCTGGGGGGGCTCTATACTGAGATACGGGGTCACGGTGAGTGTGGGGGGGCTCTATACTGAGATACGGGGTCACGGTGAGTCCGGGGGGGCTCTATACTGAGATACGGGGTCACGGTGAGTGTGGGGGGGCTCTATACTGAGATACGGGGTCACGGTGAGTGTGGGGGGGCTCTATACTGAGATACGGGTCACGGTGAGTCCGGGGGGGCTCTATACTGAGATACGGGGTCACGGTGAGTGTGGGGGGCTCTATACTGAGATACGGGGTCACGGTGAGTCCGGGGGGGGCTCTATACTGAGATACGGGGTCACGGTGAGTCCGGGGGGGCTCTATACTGAGATACGGGGTCACGGTGAGTGTGGGGGGCTCTATACTGAGATATGGGTCACGGTGAGTGTGGGGGGGCTCTATACTGAGATACGGGGTCACGGTGAGTGTGGGGGGCTCTATACTGAGATACGGGGTCACGGTGAGTCCGGGGGGGGCTCTATACTGAGATACGGGGTCACGGTGAGTGTGGGGGGGTCTCTATACTGAGATACGGGGTCACGGTGAGTCCGGGGGGGCTCTATACTGAGATACGGGGGTCACGGTGAGTCCGGGGGGGCTCTATACTGAGATACGGGGTCACGGTGAGTGTGGGGGGCTCTATACTGAGATATGGGGTCACGGTGAGTCCGGGGGGCTCTATACTGAGATACAGGGTCACGGTGAGTGTGGGGGGGCTCTATACTGAGATACGGGGTCACGGTGAGTCCGGGGGGGCTCTATACTGAGATACGGGGTCACGGTGAGTGTGGGGGGCTCTATACTGAGATACGGGGTCACGGTGAGTCTGGGGGGGCTCTATACTGAGATACGGGGTCACGGTGAGTGTAGGGGGGCTCTATACTGAGATACGGGGGTCACGGTGAGTCCGGGGGCTCTATACTGAGCTATGGGGTCACGGTGAGTCCGGGGGGGCTCTATACTGAGATACGGGGTCACGGTGAGTGTGTGGGGGGCTCTATACTGAGATACGGGGTCACGGTGAGTCCGGGGGGGCTCTATACTGAGATACGGGGTCACGGTGTGAGTCCGGGGGGGCTCTATACTGAGATACGGGGTCACGGTGAGTGTGGGGGGCTCTATACTGAGATATGGGTCACGGTGAGATACGAGATACAGGGTCACGGTGAGTGTGGGGGGCTCTATACTGAGATACGGGGTCCACGGTGTGTCCGGGGGGGGGGGCTCTATACTGAGATACGGGGTCACGGTGAGTGTGGGGGGGGCTCTATACTGAGATACGGGGTCACGGTGAGTCTGGGGGGGCTCTATACTGAGATACGGGGTCACGGTGAGTGTAGGGGGCTCTATACTGAGATACGGGGTCACGGTGAGTCCGGGGGGCTCTATACTGAGCTATGGGGGGTCACGGTGAGTCCGGGGGGGCACTATACTGAGATACGGGGTCACTATACTGAGATGTGGGTGGTGGGGGGGTCCAGGGGGTCACTATACTGAGATAAGGGTTGATGGGGTCCCTACACTGATATATGGGGTCCATATACTGATATTCGGGGTCACAGTGAGTCCAGGGACAGCAAGAAACAGATTTCCCCTCACTTCCTGTTTTGTACCTGAGACAGGAAGTGTCTCAGAACTTTTCCTATTTGGAGTAATCCGTCATTTCCCCGCCCGTGCGCTAATCTCCGCCCCTTTTCCCTCCCGCAGATGGAGCAGATCAAGCGAGCCAATCGCCTCTACACCAACGACTCCATCTTCCTGAAGAAGTACCTCAGCATCCCCGTCCTGACCGAGCAGCCGGAGCTGTCCAACGGGGCCGGCGCCAAGGAGGGCGCGGGGAGGAGGGCGGCGAAGGGGCAGCGACGGAGGGCCAGCCGGAGCGGGAGAAGGGCCGGCTCCACCGCAGCTCCTCCCACGCAGAGCGCAGGGCCGAGGTGTCAGCCAGCGACTTCATGAACAAGCTGGACACCAGGATCCGGGTGTCCAAGAGGGCGGCCGTGAAGAAGATACGGGAGGGGGAGAGCGCGTAAGTCTGGGGTGGGGGGGGGGGGATCGGCTTACATGACAATATGGCGGACGTGGGATGGCCTACACTTCCCTAAATGACCAATCGGATCGGTTCGCAGCACAGAAAAGGGCAGGACCTAGAACCTATGCTGCTAAATGAATTCACAGCTTGGAGGGGTGCTTTTTTTTCACCCTGGGGTGCTAGAGAACCTTATCTCAGTACTAGAACCCCCCCCTTGGGGGGGTAGCAAAGGGGCACCCTCCTTCACTTCAGCAGGGGGGGCAGAAAAAGGGGGGGAACCTGTAATCTATGCTGTTGAATGAATTCACAGTTTATGGAGGGGATGCTCTTGGGTCCTTATCACAGTACTAGAACCCCCACATCCCGGTAGAACCCCCACATCCCAGTACTAGAACCCCCCCCCTCCCCTCAGCTGGGCCAAGGGGTAGCAAAGAGGCAGCCACCTTCACTTCAGCAGCAGGGATGGGGGGGGGGGGGGGCAAGCGTGACATCCAAATGCTGGGCGGCTGGAGAGACAACAGAGAGAGCTAGAGACCTCAGGATCCATTGCAGCCCCCCCCCCCCCCCCCCAATGGTCGCCTACAACTGTCACTTCTCAGCCACTTTTGGGCAGCTGGAGAGGACAACAGACAGAGAGAGCTGGAGACCTCAGAATCCATTGCAGCCCAACCCCTTCATCCCGCCCCCTCTCCCAACTGTGTGCGCACAACTGTCATTCTCAGCCACTTCTGGGCGGCTGGAGAGACAACAGAGAGAGCTAAGGACCTCAGAATCCATTGCAGCCCAACCCTCCCAATGGTCACCACAACTGTCACTTCTCAGCCACTTCTGGGTGGCTAAAGAGACAACAGACAGAGAGAGCTAGAGACCTCAGAATCCATTGCAGCCCAATCTCTCCCCTCTCTCCCATGTGTGCCCACAACTGTCACTTCTCAGCCACTTCTGGGTGGCTGGAAAGAGACAACAGACAGAGAGAGCTAGAGACCTCAGAATCCATTGCAGCCCAACCCCCTCCCATGTGTGCCCACAACTGTCACTTCTCAGCCACTTCTGGGCGGCTGGAGAGAACAGACAGAGAGAGCTAGAGACCTCAGAATCCATTGCAACCCAACCCCCCCCCCCCAATGATGGTGGCCACCAGCAACTGTCACTTCTCAACCACTTCTGGGCGGCTGGAGAGGACAACAGAGAGAGAGCTAGAGACCTCAGAATCCATTGCAGCTCATCCCTTCCCCTCTCCCATGTGTGCCCATAACTGTCACTTCTCAGCCAAACATAGGCTGGAAAACAGCAACATGCATTACCAATGATATCCACTAGATGGCAGACAGTGTTTTGTATCACCAAGTAGCCCTTCCTCTTCTTATTGGCTGTGACTTCAGGGGGTCTGGGTGTAGTGTTTTTTTTTTTTTTGGTCCATAAAAAAGGGGTGGGCTTTGTGAAAGGTGGTGCCGCCTGGTTTACTCTGAGCAGGGTAGGGATGGTTACCTACCAGCATATCTTTGGAGTATGGGAGGAAACTGGAGTGTCCACGCAGGCAAAGCACAGGGAGAGCATGCAAACTCCATGTAGGTAGCAGGCTGGCAGGGTCCTGAACCTGGGACTCCACTGCTAACTACAGGGAGAGAATGCAAACTCCATGTACAGTTGGGATTTGAACCAGAGACTCCAGTGCTTAAAGGCAGCAGCGCTAACCACTAAGCTACTAGCAAGCATGTGGAGAGCATGCGAACTCCATGTAGAAAGCATCCTGGCTGGGATTTAAACCTGGTACTCCAGTGCTTAAAGGCAGAAGTGCTAATCACCAACCACATAGAGAACATGCAAACTCCATGTAGATAGCATGCTGGCTGGGATTTGAACCTGAGAGCTCAGTGCTGAAAGGCAGAAGTGCTAATCACCAAGCACGGAGAGCACATGCAAACTCCATGTAACAATCTGGCTGGGTGCTAAACCTGGGACCACAGTACTGTAAGGCAGCAGTTCTAAGCTACCAGCAAGTACAGTGAGAATATGCAAACTCCATGTAGAGAGTTATAAACCTGGGTCCCGGTGCTAACCACTAGGAAGTACAGGGAGAGCATGCAAACTCCATGTAGATATCATCCCGGCTGGGTCCCCACTGCTAACCACTAAGCACAGGGAGAGCAAGCAAGCTCCATGTAGATAGCATCCTGGCTGGGATTTGAACCTTAGCAGTGCTAACCACTAAGCCACTAGCAAGTACAGGGAGAATATGCAAACTCCATGTAGATAGCAACATCCCCTAGCAACAATAGATCCACCCCAGCAACAAAATACTCCCCCCAGCAGAAAAATACCCCCCCCCCCTGCTCAAGAGGTCCAACCCAGCAACAATAGGTCCGCCCCAGTAGAAAAATACCCCCCCCCCAGCTCAAGAGGTCCACCCAGCAACCAATTCCCCCCCTCCCCCCCAGCAACAATAGGCCCATCCCAGCAACAAATTATCCTCAGCAACAATAGGTCCACCCAGGGGCGTGTTTGCCGTGAGGCAAACAAGGCATTTGCCTAGGGTGGCACTTTTCAGGGGGGGCACTATTCCTCCCACTGACACCAATGATGGGGCACTATTCCTCCCACTGACACCAATGATGGGGCACTATTCACTCCCACTGACACCAATGATGGGGCACTATTCCTCCCACTGACACCAATGATGGGGCACTATTCCTCCCACTGACACCAATGATGGGGCACTATTCCTCCCACTGACACCAATGATGGGGCACTATTCCTCCCACTGACACCAATGATGGGGCACTATTCCTCCCACTGACACCAATGATGGGGCACTATTCCTCCCACTGACACCAATGATGGGGCACTATTCCCCCCCACTGACACCAATGATGGGGCACATTCCCCCCACTGACACCAATGATGGGGCACTATTCCTCCCACTGACACCAATGATGGGGCACTATTCCTCCCACTGACACCAATGATGGGGCACTATTCCTCCCACTGACACCAATGATGGGGCACTATTCCTCCCACTGACACTATGGGGCACTATTCTCCCACTGACACCAATGATGGGGCACTATTCCTCCCACTGACACCAATGATGGGGCACTATTCCTCCCACTGACACCAATGATGGGCACTATTCCTCCCACTGACACCAATGATGGGGCACTATTCCTCCCACTGACACCAATGATGGGGCACTATTCCTCCCACTGACACCAATGATGGGGCACTATTCCTCCCACTGACACCAATGATGGGGCACTATTCCTCCCACTGACACCAATGAAGGGGCACTATTCCTCCCATTGACCCAGCCACAAAAACACCCCCCCCCAGCAACAATTGGTCCACCCCAGCAACAACAGACCCCTGTCAGTAACAGTAGATCTCCCACCATTAAGAGACTCTCCATTAGCCACCAACAATAGACCTCCCCAGCAACATAAAAGATAAAAGACCGATGAACTTTTGATGTTACAATAACATGATTTTAGTGATCCTGTATGTTTTTTTTTTTCTTTGTCATCTCTCAGGGGTGCCGAGAAAGAAGCAGAGCCCAGCAGGGGCGGCTACCAAAGTCCCAGTCTCAGCAGGTCCCACGAGGGCTCCCCGCAGACTCAGCAACGCTCATTACTGGGACCAGTCCCCTTAACAGTGACTACCCGCACCTCCACCCTCCGCGATCACGAGGATGAGATCTTTAAGTTATGACCTTCGGTTCCTCTTTTTATCCCATTTTCTATTTTTAATGTTGTTTTTTTATATCGGACGAACATTTTTCTATACAGTTTTAAAGTGTGCCTGTTGTAATGTAGTGATGCACTGAACTCCCTGCCCCCCCCCCCCCTCTAAATGGCTGCCAGGTGGAGAATAGCCAGTAGGTGGAGCTCTAAATGGCCGCCAGGTGGAGAATAGCCAGTAGGTGGAGCTCTAAATGGCCGCTAGGTGGAGAATAGCCAGTAGGTGGAGCTCTAAATGGCTGGCAGGTGGCGAATAGCCAGTAGGTGGAGCTGTAAATGGCTGGCTAGGTGGCGAATAGCCAGTAGGTGGAGCTCTAAATGGCCGCTAGGTGGAGAATAGCCAGTAGGTGGAGCTGTAAATGGCCGCTAGGTGGAGAATAGCCAGTAGGTGGAGCTCTAAATGGCCGCTAGGTGGAGAATAGCCAGTAGGTGGAGCTGTAAATGGCTGCTAGGTGGAGAATAGCCAGTAGGTGGAGCTCTAAATGGCTGCTAGGTGGAGAATAGCCAGTAGGTGGAGCTCTAAATGGCCGCTAGGTGGAGAATAGCCAGTAGGTGGAGCTGTAAATGGCCGCTAGGTGGAGAATAGCCAGTAGGTGGAGCTGTAAATGGCCGCAGGTGGAGAATAGCCAGTAGGTAGAGCTCTAAATGGCTGGCAGGTGGAGAATAGCCAGTAGGTGGAGCTCTAAATGGCTGCTAGGTGGAGAATAGCCAGTAGGTGGAGCTCTAAATGGCCGCTAGGTGGAGAATAGCCAGTAGGTGGAGCTCTAAATGGCCACTAGGTGGAGAATAGCCAGTAGGTGGAGCTCTAAATGGCTGCCAGGTGGAGAATAGCCAGTAGGTGGAGCTCTAAATGGCTGGCAGGTGGAGAATAGCCAGTAGGTGGAGCTCTAAATGGCTGGCAGGTGGAGAATAGCCAGTAGGTGGAGCTCTAAATGGCTGCTAGTTGGAGAATAGCCAGTAGGTGGAGCTCTAAATGGCTGCTAGGTGGAGAATAGCCAGTAGGTGGAGCTCTAAATGGCTGCTAGTTGGAGAATAGCCAGTAGGTGGAGCTCTAAATGGACGCTAGATGGAGAATAGCCAGTAGGTGGAGCTCTAAATGGCCACTAGTTGGAGAATAGCCAGTAGGTGGAGCTCTAAATGGCTGCCAGGTGGAGAATAGCCAGTAGGTGGAGCTCTAAATGGCTGGCAGGTGGAGAATAGCAGTAGGTGGAGCTCTAAATGGCTGGCAGGTGGAGAATAGCCAGTAGGTGGAGCTCTAAATGGCTGGCTAGTGGAGAATAGCCAGTAGGTGGAGCTCTAAATGGCTGCTAGGTGGAGAATAGCCAGTAGGTGGAGCTCTAAATGGCTGCTAGTTGGAGAATAGCCAGTAGGTGGAGCTCTAAATGGCTGCCGTAGTGGAGAATAGCCAGTAGGTGGAGCTCTAAATGGCTGCCGGGTGGAGAATAGCCAGTAGGTGGAGCTCTAAATGGCTGGCAGGTGGAGAATAGCCAGTAGGTGGAGCTCTAAATGGCCGCTAGGTGGAGAATAGCCAGTAGGTGGAGCTCTAAATGGCCGCTAGGTGGAGAATAGCCAGTAGGTGGAGCTCTAAATGGCCGCTAGGTGGAGAATAGCCAGTAGGTGGAGCTCCAAATAGCCGCTAGCTGGAGTTCTACAAATATCAAGACCCCCCCCCCCATTTAGTGGGGGATGGGAAGGGGGGGGTAATATTTCCGAATGCACAGCTGACTTCCTGTTCAATCACCTTATAGGGTGCGGTCATTGTAAACGTGAACAACGCGCTTCCTTCTGGTCCTTTAAATATCCCATCGGAAGCATTTTGTTATATCAGTGCAAAAAAAACAATCTGTTGATCCTGCCAGAAATCCTGTGAGCCGATAACTTCCTTTGCTGTACTGTTATCCGTTATCACTGTTCCCAGCTATCTCTGTGCACTACAGAACCCTCCCCCACGTTATAAAGAAGAGAAAAGGGGGAGCTATTACAAAGACATATTTCCTATTCTCTTCAGCTCCATCTAGTGGCCATAATGCCATATTGTTCTACGGCCCATAATAAGGACCTTCGTTTAAAAAAAAAATTGCCTAAAGAACCCGTGTTTTTGCCCAGGTAGCACAGAACGAATATCCGTACAGATTCACTGGATGAATGGGTATGTGGGGTTTTTTTTTTTTTTTTATAAATAGACCCCAAAGTGTATTTATAGCCAAAAATTTTATTATTATTATTTTTTTTTTTAATAATTTATAAACAATACACAGAAAGGTAAAACGCCTTTCAGACCCTTCTTGCTTTTCCACCAAGAAAATCCGGCACATCGGTATAAATCGGCATAGCGGTTATCCTTGTACACAGTAGAACACCGCCGTAAAAAGCTGATGCGTTTCGGCCATTTAGGTTGACCTTAGCCATGAATACGGCCTGAATGGTCGAAACGCGTTGGCATTTTTTATGCATCATTGAATGTGTTTTGGCTGTTCAGGTCAGCCTTAGTCATGATTTAAGCCCTGAAACGGCCAAAACTTGCTGCCATTTTTTATAAAAAATCAAATGTGTTTTGGCTGTTCAGGTCGGCCTTAGTCATGATTAAGCCCTGAACGGCCAAAACCTGTTGGCATTTTTTTAATATAAAAATTTTACAGCATTACCGTCGTTCAGGTCAGCCTTAGTCATGATTAAGGCCTGAACGGCCAAAACTTGTTGACATTTTTTTATTAAAAATGAAATGTGTTTTGGCAGTACAGGTCAGCCTTAGTCATGATTAAGCCCCGAACGGCCAAAACTTGGCATTTTTTATTAAAAATCTAACGTGTTTTGGCCGTTCAGGTCAGCCTTAGTCATGATTAAGCCCTGAACGGCCAAAACCTTTGGCATTTTTTTATATAAAAATTTTACAGCATTACCGTCGTTCAGGTCGGCCTTAGTCATGATTGTGCCCTGAACAGCCAAAACCTGGCATTTTTTATTAAAAATCTAACGTGTTTTGGCTGTTTAGGTCAGCCTTAGTCATGATTAAGCCCTGAACGGCCAAAACCTGTTGGCATTTTTTTTAATATTAAAATTTTACAGCGTTACCGTCGTTCAGGTCGGCCTTAGTCATGATTAAGGCCTGAACAGCCAAAACTTGTTGGCATTTTTTGTATATAAAATACCAACGCCTTTCGCTGTTTAGGTCAGCCTTAGTCATGATTAAGCCCTGAACGGCCAAAACTTGCTGCCATTTTTTAATATAAAAAATTTTACAGCGTTACCATCGTTCAGATCGGCCTTAGTCATGATTAAGCTCTGAACGGCCAAAACTTGTTGGCATTTTTTATTAAAAAAGTCTAACGTGTTTTGGCTGCTCAGGTCAGCCTTAGTCATGATTAAGGCCCGAACGGCCAAAACTTGGCATTTTTTTTATTAAAAATTTAACGTGTTTTGGCTGTTTAGGTCAGCCTTAGTCATGATTAAGCCCTGAACGGCCAAAACCTGTTGGCATTTTTTTAATATAAAAATTTTTTACAGCGTTACTGTCGTTCAGGTCAGCCTTAGTCATGATTAAGCCCTGAACAGCCAAAACTTGCTGCCATTTTTTTTATATAAACATTTTACAGCGTTACCGTTGTTCAGGTCAGCCTTAGTCATGATTAAAGCCCTGAACGGCCAAAACCTGGCATTTTTTTATTAAAAATCTAACGTGTTTTGGCTGTTTAGGTCAGCCTTAGTCATGATTAAGCCCTGAACGGCCAAAACCTGTTGGCATTTTTTTAATATAAAAATTTGACAGCATTACCGTCGTTCAGGTCAGCCTTAGTCATGATTGTGCCCTAAACAGCCAAAACTTGTTGGCATTTTTTTTTAAAAATCAAATGTGTTTTGGCAGTTCAGGTCAGCCTTAGTCATGATTAAGCCCTGAACGTCCAAAACTTGGCATTTTTTATTAAAAATCTAACGTGTTTTGGCTGTTTAGGTCAGCCTTAGTCATGATTAAGCCCTAAACGGCCAAAACCTGGCATTTTTTATTAAAAATCTAACGTGTTTTGGCTGTTTAGGTCAGCCTTAGTCATGATTATGCCCTGAACGGCCAAAAATTGTTGGCATTTGTTATTAAAAATCTAACGTATTTTGGCTGTTCAGGTCAGCCTTAGTCATGATTAAGGCAGGACAGTCGAAACGTGTTGCCATCTCTAATAATACCTACGCGTTTCGGCTGTTCAGGCTGGCCCTAGTCACGATTAAGGCCTGAACGGTCGAAACGTGTTGCCATCTCTATTAATACCTACGCGTTTCGTCCTTTCAGGCTGGCCCTAGTCATGTTTAAGGCCTGAACAGTCGAAACATGTTGCCATCCCTGGTAAAAATACCTACGCATTTCGTCCGTTCAGGCTGGCCCTAGTCATGATTAAGGCCTGAACGGTCGAAACACGTTGGCATTCCACTGTGTACAATAAAGGACAATCGCTACTCTGATTTATACCGATGTTCCGGCTTTTCTTCGCGTGTTGTGCGTCAGTGAGGTTCCAGAGACCTTTCAGCTAGAGCTAGGGTTTAGAGCCCCAGCAGTAGAGGTTGTCGCGCTGTTCCAGTCCCCGCTGGGGAGAACCCCCTTCACTTCCTGTGTCACTGGCACGACAGGAAGTAAGAGGAAACCTCCCTAAAGCAAGAGGAAGTCTTCTGGTGGCCACACACTTCCATTTTTTTTTTTTTCGATTGATCATTTTTTTTTTCAAAAGTACGGCCTCCATTAGAGCAGGTAGAAGATTTCCTTCTGTAAAATTTGGATTTCCTGAATATAGAGGGCGAATCTCCCCGGGGGGGCGGGGCATGTAGACGAATCCACAACTAAAAACCGTTTTGGTTGGAGACGCGATGGCTGGAAACAGATTTCAGGAGCCAAAGACACAAAGGAAATCACAATTCCACAACGGGTTCCAGATCCGCGTCGCTGAAAACTTTGTACCGCCATCCGAAAATCGCGAACAGCTGCGATGG